CTCTCAGTTTGTGCTCACCCAACCCACAGTTTGGTATGTGCTGTAGCAGCCTGCTGCCTCCTCTTCCAATTGTTGTTGTACAGTCAGCCTCTCCCTCGCACGCAGAACAGTTTACTTGCTACGACATGTCTGGGTTTGGCAGGTTTTTGTTGCCGACCACAGAGCTCCTAGAGAGTGACAGTTTTTATAATGTTTAATGTTTCATTTTGTAAGAAATATTTATTATTCACTTATTATTGTCAGTGGGCCAAAGGGCTCATTGAAGTATAATCTACACACAGAAAACGTATTCCTAAAAGTTGCGTTGGATATTTTAGCTCCAGAGAAATACCACATTATAACAAGTGTTGGTGTAACTGTAACTGCGTTGAATGGACAGTTTCTGCTCTGTCTGCACAGGTGCGTTGGTTCATTCTCTTCCTCTTCTGTTGCTCTTGGAACTCTTAGATCATATCAGTCCAGCTTTATAATCATGTCCAAGCTCTTGTTTGTGTCCTGTAGCTGTGTTAAAACCCCCGCAGTGGCTGTGTGTGCTCATGTAAGTGCAGGAGGACCAAACGGCGTTCAGGAGACTTGCGTGGTCTAACACGGGTCACAAGGTTTTCCTCACAGAGGAGACGGAGCCTGTGGATTGTCCACGTGTTTCTGAACAGACTTTTTTGTGGATTCTTGCTTTGTTTAGACTGAACTGACTCCAGTGTCCTCAGTGACCCAGGCTGCCTGGAAGACTTAACCCTCCACTGCAAGAAGCTTCTTAACTCATTCATGGGGCTTTAGCATTAAACCACATGATAATGCAGATTTAACCATGACAAACAATGCAGGCTCTGCCCCACAGCTGCTGTTTTCTGTGTGATAACTCATTCCATTCCCAGGTCTCCTCACTGTTTCACTGCTAATTATCTTCAATCTTGCCAACGTTTGCTGACAGTATGAAATGTGATGTATCCAATGAAAATGACCCCACGCCCCTCTCCCCCAGTCCTTCAATTAATTCCCAAGCTTTCCCCAGTTGAATTCTTAAATGTTAAAGTTTTTTTCATCTTTTTTCTGAACACTCTTATTTGAAGTATGTTGGTATGCGTTTAAACCTGCCCATCGACCGGTGCTTCCCCGTGAGTCGGAGCTGCAGATAGTGAAGCAGTTAAAGTGCTAAAGATCATCAAACGCCGTTTACTCTCATCAGTAACAGTTCTATTGTCCACCTCGCCGAGCTTCACAAAAGATCATAACAGCACCTCCTGGCCATTGTCCTAAACTGCACCCTGGAGCCGCCTTCGTTCCCACTGCTGCCCCCCCCAGCTTGGGGTCGTCAGTTTATCACCTTTACCACCTCCATTAGCACCATCTTCTCACCAGAGGGCCGTTAAATGCCCCGAAGCAGCGCACACCGGGGTCACGCTGTCAAATGGCATCCTGAAATGTTGCTGTGGAGATAGCGTTTCTGTGTACCGAAGATCAAAGGTATTGATCTGTGTGTGGTATAAATGTCCAGCGTTCTTTGATGTACAAACTCTCTGTGCACGCGTTAGGTCCGATTAAAGAAATCTTTAAAGAAACCTTCGCTCACGTTTAGGAACAATTTGTCACAGTTAAAAAAGGTTAAACGCTGCCGACCTTTTACCTCACACCTAATGAAGGTGAAATGTTTAAAACACCATTATCACAGAAGAAGAGGATTTCCAAAAATATTTTCATACAAACTGAGGATATTTTAGATTACGTGTAAAATATAGTTTAGTTTAATTTGGAAGGTATGCCTGGATTTTGTGTGAATTTAAATGATTACAGGTCAAATAGAATTTATTTATATTGATGGTACTGAAGATACATTTAGAAGAAAAAATTACATTTGTTTGCATTGATACAATCATAAATCTAAATCAATTTGAATTAAAAACCAATGATTATTATGTCACATACTGCATTTTTATAAATATAAATATTATCTTTGACGTAATTAGTTTTGTCAACTGTAAATATTATCTTTGACGTAATTAGTTTAGTCAACTGCCCACTGCACAGGTTTCACATCGGAGCACAATGACGACATCTATAATGACGTCATTGTGTTCTCAGTTTGTGTCATAGTCATAATTTTGTTGACAACATAAAAATAATCTCAGGCACAGTTTGACATTTCAGCTCTTGTTGTTGCCCCCCCGCCCCCCACTGCTGTGGCCCCAGTATCAGCCACTAGGAGATGAATTAACAATGAATGTAACCTATAAACTGTCTGTCAAATCCAGTTTTCTCATTTTTATTTTTGTGGTTATCTATAATAACCAGTTGGTAACTTTATGTTCTGATCCACGTGTTGAACACACACACGACAGGACCACTATCAACACCAAACCTGTCTCCGGCTCAATCAAATAACTTTGTCGTGGGAGTGTCTCTGTTTGTGTGACTGCTCTCTGTTTATGTGGGGGTGTGTGTGTGTGTGTGTGTGTGTGTACAGGGCTGTGCATGTTTTTGTTTGTTTGAGCAGCTCCTCCTACATTCAAGTGTTTGCTTTTTGCATTTAATCTCGTGCTGCCAGCTTAGGGCCCTGGTTTCGCCCCGGGAGATTAGAGGATGTTGGCGCGCTGTTGTGGAAATGCTCTGTCTTTAAACTCTAAACACACACACACACAGACCAGGCAGAGTGGCTGCTTGCCGTTTTGGTGTGTTTGTTTGTGTCAGGCCTGTGATAAGGCGTCGCAGTGGAGCGCGGTTAATACGTTTTTATAAACGCTCAGACCAAGGATTAATCAATGAGCCGTGTGGTCATTAGTGGCGATGCTGTTATTTATGTCCTTCCCCATCGGGAGCGTTAACAATAGACTTTAGGCTTTGTGTTGTGTTGTGTTTTGAAGAAAAACAGTTCTCAACATCAAACACACTCTATTTCCTGATATTTTGTTCCACTTTTTTTTAATTGCAGTAAAAGATAAAAGCTGTAATTTGGCAACACGTCTCTTTACTTACTGAGTAAAAAGAAAATAAAACCAGGCTTTGTTTCATCAGACCCACATAATTCAATTTGTCAAACGTCACCATAATTACACCTGAACGCACGCCAAAACAGTTGGGACACCCGCTTGTTTACGAACACTGTTGCAGTTTTTCTAAGTAATACTGATGCCTGTTGGTGGTGTTGAAATAAAGGACTCGACGCGCCTCAACAGTCTGTGGTGGCGGTTGGAAGATCTTCCTCTCCATGATGCACCGCGACTGTTTCAGCAGGGGATCTGCACTGCAGGCCGGTTTCCTCTTGGAAAGACACTAAGACTACAGACTCGGTCTGTGGTATTTCTGCAGAATGAGTCGGGACTTTAAATCCCAGAGTGGGGGAATTCACACAGACTGCCACGGGTGCTGTATGTGTTTCCTCTGGGGCTCAAACCCAGGCCCTTGAAATTATTATGACTTTTTATAGCACTGTCTTTCTGTATGGAGTTTTTCTGTTCTTCCCTCTAAGTCTGGGGTTTTTTTTTTCAGGAGTTCTCCCCCATTTCTCTCCCCCACATACAAGATTACCTAAAAGTCACACATTATTAGTTTTTGCTGGTCCTGGAACTTGTGTATAAATAAAAAATATATACCCTTTATCATTTGTGTCCACAAGGGGGCAATATCTGCACTCCTCACAAATAAATATTAAACGGACTAAGGATTAAATCAGAGAGGAATGACTCAATCCATACTTTGAAAATAATTATGCATTTTGTATAATTCTATACAAGTCTAAAAAAGTGATAACAGACTTTTAAAAAAACCAAATCCATCTCTTATTTCTACAGAATAATTTGTGTTTGCCAGCCCGCGGGGGTTCAGCATTATTACTGAGAAATGCTTCACTGATGCCAAGCACAAACGCTTGCACAACCTCTCCACAGATTAGCCCGATCAGCAGCAATAAAAAGGAATCATCTGCGTCTGTAATCTTCCAGCAGTGGCCCATATTCCTCAGAGCCTCCGTTAATTCAACCTCCCGCTGCCACGGCTCAGTTTACACAGGTGTTGTGTTGTTATGTCAGATTGTGGGTTTAAGAATCTCGGATCCAGTGTGTGTGTGTGTGTGTGTGTGTGTGAACATCTGTGTTTGTGTGTGAGTGGGTGTGAGCCCGCGAGGACCGTGTGTGATATTGTGATGGTGCAGCAAGATGTGCACATGATATTTTTCTTCTCTTGCTTCACCCACGACAGGAGCTGCGTTGTGGACGCAGCATTTAAAGATCAAAGAAGGATTAAATGGAGGTCCTGCGCCTCGTCTTGTCTTTATTGGTTAGAGCTGCAGCTCTGTCATTAGCACCGTGTAAGTGAGCCTCGCTGCAGCTCCTGTCTCACTGCCTGAGAGAGAGAGACGGTGAAATGCAGGTGTAGAATGAAGGGGTTCTAATGAGCAGGAGATAATTGTTAGATATTAGATCCAGCCCATGTGAAGCTCCTGGTGGTATTTTAATCCTCTGAAGACATTTGAGTCCTCAGCAGCGCGTGTTACGGCGCTCGGTGCTGCGGCCTCCACCTCAGCTGTCACGTTGATACAGTGCTTCTCCCTTACCTTTGTCAAATGCAACCTAGTTTAAGGTAACAATACCTGGGAGCTTTAATTATCTCCTCTGCCTGACAGTGGGGCGGCTTCTCTGTGGGTCATTGTTTGACCCAGTGGAAACCAGCAGAGAACCAGAAAACCAGATCAACATTCTGTTCTGGTTATAGTAGGATTTCAAGGCAGGAGGAAAACCCAGCTTAAATAAAAAAATTAACAAAAAATATTTCCATTCCAGTGGTATCCTCAACCCCACTAAAGTTTCTGACATATCTTATAATTGCCTTGTTACGGTACATTATTAAAATGTGGTTCAGAACTCTGCTTTCCCAGATGTGGGCCGCTGGGTTTTTGACTTTGTAAGCATCAGATGATCACGAGTCCTGAGTGGAGCCGGAGGCAGAGGACTCTCATCTCACCTTCAAGCCTCCTTACACTGATCCTCTTCATCTGATTTTGTCCCCAGGTTGTGCGCGGACGCCTGGCGTGCAGCACGGAGACATGCTGAAACCGACGGAGG